TGCCAAGACGTACAATACATGGCACCATGCCAAAATTTGGGCAAATAATAAATATTTGTTACATAGTGTGAACAGAGCATTTAGCTAAGATGTAAGTAAAAAGTGGAGTTTACTTACTGTGGTGATAGGGTAGCGAGGGTTCAGTATGGTGAACAAAAGAACGTTGTTACCACCACTTGCATCAACACCATCACTGCAACACACAAAAAGAAAAAAAACGCATTTATAAATGAATCCCCAATTATCATACAAGTACTGTTCTACTTTGTAAGTTGTTGCATTAGATTACCACTATTCCCCAGCTTTCAACCCTTGAAAATAGAACCATAAATTAATCAATAGATATAAAACTATATCTAAGACTTAAATCAAGATTGCATAATGTGTATGATCAGAGGCATAAACTTTACTGACAACTGCACACATGTTTTATTCAGTAGCCAAGATTCAATACTACTTACACTGATGGATATAGTATGTCAAATTTCTATCCATTAATTAACATCTTGAGAGTTTGTATCAATATCATATTGCATATGTGGGCCTGGAAATATTGCAGATGGTTGTATGCTTATAGTTGTTTGCATTGGTTCAATTTTGACCAAAGCACCTTTACCTTGGTCAAAACTTAATTCATTTTCCCTGCAGTCAACAATGATTACAATTTGAAAGATTAATTTCGCTTAATTACTGATCTGATAATAACTACTTCTCCACCCCCACTTTAAAAAACCAAATGTTTAGGCAGTTGACGATCAATAGAAACTATTTATTCTGCCTAACTTGTCAGACAATTTTTTAAGCATTAAAGAATGCAACCATTAATATTTTACATGAGATTTTTATAACGACAATCAAGCAAGAAAATTTTTTTTTTAGGATTCTTACCCAGGTCTTTTTATTTTGGAGCTTGTGGAGTAGTTGAAGAATGCAGGAGTCCCTGCAACATTTACCACATTCTCAGGATGTTCCTGAAAAAAACAAAGCAATTTACATTTGACGATTACAAACACTTTCAATATTAATGTTTTTTTTAAAGGAGAATGAGTTAGAATAGCAGTAAGGTATTGAATTTGGTAAGACAGGGCCATGTTTGAAAACTGCCAATTGCTATGCTTGCTTGTATCCTTGGTTTTGACATTGCTTCAATTATGTAGCTCTTTAGATTGGACATTAAGCTGTTGGTCTTATGTGCATAACTCATGTGCATGAAAAAACTATTCAAAAATTTAATATATAAACAAATTAATACTTACATTCACAAAATCTACACATGCTTTTGCACCAGCAAATTCTTCAAACTCAACCAGAGCCTGTCCTCGTCTAGGAATCATGTACACATAACTGAGGATGAAAGGGAAAAATAATAAATAAATTGAGATAACACAAAAGATGCAAAGTTGTGAGAATTTTGGAATACTCAAGTGGGTAGTACTGCTAACCCAACCTCTATGAAGGCTGGTGTTACAAAGATCAATTAATTAAGCGATTACTTGATGTGAATACACTAGGCCTTGCAGTTCAAATCATAGACAGTTCATCTGCATAAATACCAGCTTACTCAATGAATAATATTTTGGAGGATTATTTTTTTTTAAATTATATACAGATAACCTAAAAAGTGATGATGCAGAACCATAAATTACCTTATTGGTCCAAAAGTCTGAAGGGCTTCCTCAAGATCGTTTTTGGTTACATTATCAGCTAGTCCACGAACATGAATGACTTTGGAGGGGCCTGGCTTGTGTGACTCTTCAAATGGATCCTAGGTACGTAGGCAATGAGAATAAAATGTTAAAATACATCCATAACAATAAATTCATAATATTAAATGAAAATAATCAATTTTAATGAATAATTTATTTTTTTTAAGAATCTACAAAGGGTTTAAATATACGACTCTTTTTTTGTTAATAAATTTTTATGATAGACTATACAATAAATTATTTAATTGCTCAACATTGTCGAAAATTATTCACTGAGAATTACTTATGAATGATCAGCTACAGATCCAGGATTTTTTCACCAGGGAATGGGAGTGAGTGGGAATAAAATTGGGGACCTAAGGTAAGAGGTGAAGGGTTTAGGATGTTCCTTTAACTTGTTTTTTTTTTTTTAATGGCATACTGTAGGCTTCCATTGGTAAAATGACAATAAAACATGTTGTTTGCTTTCCCACAGTCATCTTATATATTACTTTTAAGTCAATATGCATATTTATTATATTATAATTATCAGTATTAGAATATTTGTTACTATTAGTCATTCAATGAATTTTACAGAAAACATTTACAAAATGTACTCCATACATCACGGCTAAACTTGTTTGCGGACGAAACGGTCCTATGTCCATCCAGCCAGAACACAATTGATACTACAGTGAGCATACTCAGAACAATTAACATTGTAAATATGAATTTGTGGGAGATAGGCTACGTACATAGGTTAGTTTCGGGGTTTCAGTAATCTCATGTTTTTATCAATAATTTAATCATAAATGTGATTGAAGCTGCATACACCACGATTGGAACTGAACAGATATTTGGTTTCCAATGCGCTGAATGCCAGCATCCCTCCAATTCAGTATTCTTACAACTAAAGAGTGGTAAGATTTTCTGATGGGTTTGGGTTGACTTTCTGGTCCGAACATTTTTCGGATTCGGTGTGAATGATGAATGCATTTTTAAAATGCATTCTTAAATAATATGGTAAAAAATTTCAAAATTGTTTTATTGTTGGCCTAGGCCTACAGACAAACATTTGCTAGGCCTAGACTACTATCGTAATGCAGCTCACAAAATGCGTATCAGCGTATCACAGCGTATCTGTGACCTTCCTAGACCTAGCCAAGCCTAGCTACTCCACCAGCAACACCAAAAAATAACAAAGGACGGTAAATTATAAATGCATATTGTACACGTTATCGTGGGAAAACTTACACCAGACTGAACCCCTCGTCCTCCTGTATCAGTTCGCTGGCGTTTAGCAGCATGCCCATCATAATTTGACATCATCTTTAGCTAAAATTTGCAGTATAAACTTAGAAAATCAACAGTCAAACGCAATGCAGCTCGTGGTTGAAGAAGATGGCGTCGTTTTGCTTCGCTTTTGCAACTTCTCCACGAGAGGGCGGTATTGCATCTGCATCGAACCCACCATCCTCCCGTTTTCCCCCATTCCTAGAATTCCCTCCCTCGGGTCAAATCGGGTTGTCTCGCCATCAAAACAAGTACCGTAGATACACAGATATTTTATATAAAGAGAAGGGGCTTATATATTTTATATATTTATATACAATATATAATCCTTATATACAATATATAATCCTTATATATAAAGTTATATAAAGTCTATATTATAAAAAAAAATTTTAATTGCCGTCTATCTAAAGTAAATTTTATGATGTCATTTTCTGTTCGAATCCATCTGACATTTTTTGTGATAGCCTCTATTGTTTCTATCATAAAATTATTGTTACATAAATTATGTATGCACTTCCCAGCGGGCACACAACGTTAATTCAACGTTGAATCAACGTTGAAATGTAGCTGAAACGTTAAAATCATGTTGACAACATATACTCAACATTGAATCAATGTTAAAAATATGTTGTGTATTTAACCCAAGTCCCGGTTGATAATTTAATGTTAATTCAGCGTTGAATTAATGTTGACATTTGGTTGATAATTTAACAATTACAGTACCAACATGTTTTCAACATCTTTTAAACGTCAAGTTAAAATATAGTTTGCATTTCAATGTAGAATCAACGTTGAAAATGTGTTACGTTTTTCAACCAGAATCGTATTGTTTATTCAACATTTTTCTACGTTAAATAAACGTTGAAAATATGTTGAGATTTTAATGTTACAGTAACTACGTAAGTTCAACATCTTTTCAATTGCATTTCAATGTAGAATCAACGTTGAAAATGTGTTACGTTTTTCAACCAAACTCCTACTGTTTTTTGAACGTTAGATACACGTTGCAAATATGTTGAGATTTTAAAGTTAGTGTATCAACATAAGTTCAATGTTTTTTCAATGTGAAGTTAAAATGCAGTATATAGCAGAGCAGATAGACAAATAAAACATGTAACACTGGGTTAAAGACTCAACATT